CCTTCCCCCTGGTTTTCAGAGACTCTCACCTCCGTCTTATTCCGAGAGAGCACGCTGGCATCGATCGGGCCCAGGGACATGTTTGGCAGGACAAGGTTGAGAACTTTTGCAGCAAGAACCTAGCCGGGGAGGGAAAACAAGGGTGTGAGTGCAGTGGGATCCATGCCCAGTTCGCCCACGGGACAGTTTACAGTAAATTACAGAAAGTGACACCCAAACTAAACATCAGCTAGGTTTGTTTCCCAAGGCTGCGCACCCTGGGACTCTCCCTGCTCTGACTCAGATAGCCTTGAGCTAGTCTGGCTCAGAGCCCCATGGGGAGCGGGCGAGAGGCAGCCACCAAGACTGACGGAGGGAATGCCATGTCTATTTTTTGCTTGCTCCAGATTCTATGCCGTCACCCTCCCCAGAATCACTCATCGGTCATAATTTTGAATTATTTGCAGGAGCTGCCTAGTTGAGCTCTTGTGCACAAGTCACTTCTTAGGGGATCCTAAAAAAACACAGCAGGAACAGAATCACCTGAAAGCGAAGCCGGATAGCTCAGAAGGCGCCAAAGGAATCTGCTTAGATCAGAAAGAATCTGTTGATCATCGTGGTTTCTCTTGGAGGGGAACAGAAATAGTTACCAAGCCTGATTAAGAGATGTGTGGCAGAGGGAGAAAGATTCAACTTGATTCCTGGCTGTGCTGCCTCATGCACATGGACATGAGGGCTGACTATCACTGAGTCTCTGTTTCCTTAGCTGCCAAGGGAGACCACAGTGTGCAAAAGCACTGGACATATAGTAGGTGCTTAATATATGCTCCTTGAACTTGAACCTGATCCAGGTACAGGCCTTTCTGCCCCACCCCACTTCATGTCTTCTGCTGGATCTGGTGTTTACCCAGGAAAAGTGTGAATCTGGATCTCACACTTCTGCCTGCAGAGGGGGGACTGTTCTCATTTCTGCACTGTGCATAGACACTAGGGGATGAAAGATGCTATTTCAAAAGTGAACTGTGAAATGCTGAAATTAGAATCGCATGGAAGGTGGCAAACAGTGAATTCTCAGTGCATGTTGAGGGACCATATCCTGGTACTAAGAAGTGATGTCCCCTTGGTACCCTTGCTGGGGTGGTGGGGGCACTAACATCTACCGAGTAACGATATTTTGCTGCATTGGGCACAGTCATAGGTGCCCAGTCTTTTAATGTTGACACAAATGCTGTGAGGTGAGGGTTTATCTTGATTTAACAGACAAGAAAACAGAGGCTTAGAGCCACACCATGGGGTCAGCTGGAAAGGGGGCGAGGCCACTCTTTCCCTTTATGTCACCAGCCTTCATTATTCTCTCCCTGTATGAATGCAACTGAGAGCCTAACTTTTTCTATGGATGATCAAGAACCACAGGCACTGATACTCTCCATGGTGACACAATTGCTGTACTGCCCCGTCTCCCTTTATGCTCAGAGCTATAAAACATCCTATTCCTTGGGCCACACATGCATGATATAACCTCACACTGCCAGGAACCAGGCAGGGCTTTGCTCCTAAAAGAACACATGCGCATGCACGTACTCTGAAATTCACATGGTCAACTCTCCATTTTTCAGTGCAGGGATGGCAGCACCCTGCCTCTAAGACTATCATAGCTCATTGCACCCCAAGGCTGGTGTCCAGGCATGCAAACCCCATGCATATTGATTCTCTGCCATCAATGTGCCAGGCACTTAATGCCAAGCTCTGAGCTGACCTGTGACAGTCTAGCATAGAAATATAAGGAAATCCAACTTGGAGAACTAGGTTAGCACTTGAGTCAGTCCACACGGTCTGAAGCCTCATGGGATGGACAAGATCTATCGGGCAGGTTCGAGGCAAGGTGAGGTTGTGGACCAGCTCCATGGACAAGTACCAGATGAGGAGGGCTCAGAATTCTGGGAGCTCTCCAAAAGGAAAGGATTTGGGGGTTTCCAAACAAAAAAATCAAATGTCTGTGACCTCCAGGAACTGGGGGCTCCTCTGGGAACCTAAATTCAGCAGTTGGTATTGATGCTTTCAAAGGTTAAAACTTTTTAATAAAGAGAAAATACAACAGATAAGAAGTGCACTGTGGGCGTGCAGAGAGGCTGTGGGAGCCCGCCCTGGGGCCTTCACTGGGCTCCGATAGTGTGAGGAAGGTAGACTTTTAGGGACTTATCTCCTCCAATAATGGCGGCCCAGGGGCAACACTACTAGGAAAAATCTTTATATCCCAAAGTTTGTAAAATAACATCTATACATTCTGCTGTTCTCGATGACTCTTGCCCACAGCTCCCTGAGTGGACACACGGGCTGACGGCTGACTCCATGTGCAACCCTGCCACGCCCAGGAATCACAGGGCGGCAGTGCAAAAGGACCCTGTGCAACTGTCAATCTCCAAATGTTGTTGCCCAGGTTAGCCTGTCTGCCTGACTGGTCTGACATGGCCTTCTCAAGGACATGGCTGTTTTTCTGCAAGCCAGCTTTCTACCCATTCTCAGATGAGATGACTGACAGCCAGAAAATGGCCCAGAGACATAGCACCTTGGCACTCACCCTGAAACAAAAGCAAGGAGAGGGACCACGCAGCACCCATTTCATTTCTCTGAAGCTGACCAACAGATTTTTCATTTGCCAATGATTTATGTTTTGTTACCTGTCACCTGATTCTGCATGGGCACACAGGAGCCAGCCATTCATGAAGAAGCACACTTACCTTTGTCTTTGAATCTATGTTCCTGCCGCTGGCACTTCTTAAACTAAAAAATTTATACCCAAAAGTGCCAAGGCCTCTATTTTCAGAAGATGCTGACAGTTTAGGCTTGACAAGAATAAAAAAAGGCCATGCTGTGGCTGGAACCATCCTTGCTCTNCCACAGGCCCCACCACTCGCTAGAGCCTCTCACTAGCCTAATGCATAAGGAGCTGCTGGCCCTGAAGGTCTGGGAGTTTTGATCCCTCATCAAGGATGTCTCCATTGCCATTATGAATGATTCACATTTAGTTGCCCACTCTCTAGGTGACTCAGAGGGCCAGGAGGTCAAGTTTTATAATGAAGCTAAAGTCCAACTGCTCAAGTCCCAAGGAAACCTGGGAAATCCAGAGCACCCCATTCCATTTTACAAGGTCATTAGGAAGCCACAGATTTTGTGATTTCAAATTCCTAAAGCAAGATTGGAAACAGGCAGAAGAGTGGCAAAATGACTTGCTTAATCCTGAAGATAATTCCAGCATCTTCCAGATGCCCAGGGTTGCTGCCTGTCCTCTGGCCATAAGTCTGCAGGTGGTTGTTGCTCCCACAGACACAGCAGGGCTAGGGACCACACTCACCTAAGCTCTCAGATTAGTCCCACCAGTGGGTGACCCAGTTAAGTCCTCTCATCTTGCAAAGCCTCAGTCTGCTCATCTGGGGCTGCCATGCGTGGGTAAGCATGCAGCACCCACCTGGCATGGAGCATAAAGGCCCAATCAAAGGAAGGTATAGGTGCTGGCCTTTCAGTAAATGGGAGGTGGGTTGGTTCACTGGGCAGCAGTTTAAGAGACCAGCCCCAACCTCTGGGGTTTTGGACTGTGCTCATACTCACTGTCTTGGGCACACTGTTGACCTTGATCTTTTGATTATGCTAACCTTAGTGCCTGTCCTAGAAGCTGTGACATTGACCGATGGCACAGCCTCCCAGCTTATCTCCCCCGAAGCCACCTTGCCCCTTCTTTCTAAGCTTCTCTCAGCTAGTTTTGCTTTTATAGAAGGCAGTACCACTCTGTTCGGGGGCTGCAACATACTCCTGGCAGGACAGTGGCTCCTGGGAGATGGCGTGTGTGGGCTACCTCATGATCTGCCCTCAGTTTACCCCTTGACACTCGCCTGTTGCCTTATATGTGGTGGAACCAAACTACTGGCTGTTCTGCACTTGGGCTGTCCTATCTCCACACCAGGGTTCTTTAACCATGCTGTTCCCTCCACCTGAACCCTCTTCCTATGATCCCACTTCAGCCCAGCACCGCCCCCACAACCCATGAACAGAGGACATTTGGCCTGGCCTGAATCCATTCTTCTGTCTTCTGCTACTTTATCACAATTCCACACTCTACCCTCTCTTGATTCATGAGGTTGGGTGGGGTTGACACTGCCCCCTTTCCTGGACAAATAACCCAGGCTTGGACAATCAGCCAATAAGAATCAGCCCTGGGATTTTTCTTGGAAAGAGGTGATGTCTTTCTACTGGGGTTGCTCATATAAAGCTTCCAGTGGCCATCTCTAACTCTACTTGTGGAAAGTTTGGTTGGGCATAAAGCCAAACCAGGGGCTATGAGACCTGGGGAGAACGGATGGTGAATAAAACTTTTGACCCCCTGGATCCGTCCATGCCTGAAGTTTTTAGTTATATGAGTTTGGACAATTAAGTTCATGAACTTGTTGCAACAGTGTCGCTAAACATTTTTNCTGAATGTCATCAAAATGTCTTCCTTTCAATATTTCCTTTATCTTCAGGTAAAGAAAGAAGTCATTGGGGGCCAGATCAGGTGAGTAGGGAGGGTGTTTCAATACAGTTATTTGTTTACTGGCTAAAAAACTCCCTCACAGATAGTGCCATGTGAGCTGGTGCATTGTCGTGATGAAAGAAAGGGCCATGAATTGTTGGTGAAAAGTTCAGGTCGTCTAACTTTTTCACCCAGCCTTTTCAGCACTTCCAAATAATAAACTTGGTTAACTGTTTGTCCAGTTGGTACAAATTCATAATGAATAATCCCTCTGGTATCAAAAAAGGTTAGCAACATTGTTGCAACAAGTTCGCAAACTTACTTGTCAGGCCTCTTATAAAATATGATTGATGCAGAGTCATAAAATAAACTTGGTTAATCAAACTGGGAGTACTGGAAAGTTAATAATCAGTTCTCGGAGGGAACTGCTGTGGGAGGCTGTGTCCTGGGGACAGAGTGGAGGCTGGGGCCTATCTTTAGCTGTGGTTATAATTAGTCAAAAGCCTCAGTGTGGCTGAGCTTTCCAAGACCGCAGAAGCCTTCCGTGGGCCATGGGTAGAGGTGGTCTCCTGACATGTGGGTGGGAAACCTGCAGGGAACAGGGGAGCAGGGGGCTTAATGCTGGCACACCTGAAT